GACAGACAACCAAGCACACTCACATTCACACCTACGGACAATTTACAATCACCAATTAACCTCAGCATGTTTCTGGACTGTGGGAGGAAGCCGGAGAACCCGGAGAGAACCCACGCTGCACGGGGAGAACATGGAGACTCCACGCAGGAAGATCCCGGGTGTCCTCACCGGGACGCCAACCGGCGACCTTCTAGCTGTGAGGCGCTAACGGTGCTAACCACTGAGCCACCTGCAGCCCTAACATGAACAAGAATAAGTGAATTCAATCCAAAGAAGTGGCGCTCCAGTCTGGTTGTCAGGGAAGGAAGAAGCTTCTTTAGCTGAGAAGTGGTTAAAATCCACACAGAATCCTAGAAATCCTCTTTGTAGGCTGATGCTCAGAACATCAGACGTCTGTTCTTTGGCTCAAAAGGCTTCGACTGCAAACATGGCAGGTTCTGTACATGTTGTCCTGACTCATGGTTCTGAACACGGTACACAATGAACAACAGACAAACACAAGAGTACACGTGTGTGTAGAACGACTCACATGGCGCTCAGAGGACACGACAAAGCAGCAAACCGCTGCCTCTCAGGTAGAATTACACCCTGAGCTGACACCGGCAGGAACTTAACCACACATTTGTTTAAAAGCACGACCTGTGTGTCCGTCTGCTCTCACACACACACACACACACACACACACACACACACACACAGTGAACATACAACACACGGTCATGAGAACATGAAGGCCAGGTCCTGATAGTTTCGTGGATGTGTTTGGACTTCAGCCCTGTTGCTGCTTCTCCACACTGAATCCTTGTCGATGCATTCTGGCTTCTGTTAAAACAAGAATTTACAATAAAAGATTCTTTCATGTCAAAGTGAAAACAGAATTCTACAATTAATTAAAAATGATCTTTTTTTTCCAAACAATGTTTAAAAATCTGTGTTTATTCAAAGTCACAGTTTGTTCCTGTCAGCTGTCAGCAGCACGTCCACCACACGGTGAACACTGGAGGACACACTGCAGGAGGAAGAAGAAGAAGAAGAAATAGGAGAAGCACTGAGCCACTCTGCTGGTTTTTTTACATTCTGTTGCTTGAGTTCATCACTCGTGATGAATCAGGGTTTTCTGGGTATGATGATGGCACTGGGCTACCACATCCTCAAACCTAACCCTAAGCCATCAGCTACAGCCACTGTGTGAGCAGGGATGGAGCTTAGACAGACTTTAACTAATGTAGGGATGAACCCCAGTTTAAAGAGCTGTGGAAACAAACAGTACAAACTGATGAACAGCACAAGACTGACCCAGAACCTGCAGCCGACAGAAAGAAACTAAACTCTAGATGGACACAGTGTGATGGCTCCACCAGGTGTGTGACCTGAGCTGAAGAACAACGTGGCTGATATAAGACGTGTCTAAATAATATAAACTCTATCTTATCTTCATCCATCCATTATCTACAAACCGCTTCATCCTCACTAGGGTCGTGGGGGGCGGAGTCTATCCCAGCTGACTCAGGGTGAAGGCAGGTTCACCTGGACAGGTAACCAGTCTATCACAGGGCTACACTTAGAGACAGACAACCAAGCACGCTCACATTCACACCTACGGACAATTTACAATCACCAATTAACCTCAGCATGTTTCTGGACTGTGGGAGGAAGCCGGAGAACCCGGAGAGAACCCACGCTGCACGGGGAGAACATGGAGACTCCACGCAGGAAGATCCCGGGTGTCCTCACCCAACCGGCGACCTTCTAGCTGTGAGGCCACAGTGCTAACCACTGATCCACCTGCAGCCCTCTTATCTTATGAGCTTTTCGACAATTAAAAAAAAAAAAAAAAAAACCTAACTCAGGCACTTTAGGTTCAAAGTTTAACTCTTTTAACATTTACATGTAGAAGCTTATTATGAGGTCTCGTGGTGAACTTCTACATCTTGCCTGCATAAGCAAATAATCAGAGTAAGTGACTGACAATAATGCCGATTTGGCCTTCAGAGATTTTCCAGCAGAATAAATAAATATAACAGAGACACTGTGAGTAATGGGCTCAACCTGGCCAAAGCTATAAAAGCTGTCTGGCTCCATCGCTGTGTACGCCTCGTCCACTCATCTAATGGTAAGTTTGCAATTAACATTATGTCATTCATTCAACCTTTATTTAAACTCCGAGTACATGACGGGTACGGAGACCTCATTTACGATGCAGCTGAGGAACATCATAAAAGAAGGAGGCGCATAAATCGGATAAAAATAACAGTAAAATGTTAAAAAAGCAAAGTTGGTAAAACAGTAAAAATGTTAATTGGAGCATTGAATCAACTGAAACAAGAGACTGAAAACCTGAAGATGAGTCCAGCTTTAACCTGTTCTGCAGCATCTGTTTCATTAGAATGAACAGAACATGGACAGAACTTCAATACTTCGTCTGTGAACAGAACTCTGCCGACATAATGTCAGATTTCCACCAGCTGAGGTCCAATAATCTCACTCCGCTTCACAGCATCAATAAAACACTTCCTCTATGACTGAGAGACTCTACAGCAACAGAAATGACATATTATGTTTAAACGTTTGTAGATATGAGGACATTAGTGACATACGATGTAAAACAAGCTCAGACAGTAAACTGGCACCTACTCTGCACCCAGTCCCTTGATCACACATGTGCTGATTGGTGGCGGCGTACAGTTCGCTCTGAGTAAACAGGTTAATTACTTCCTGTATTAAAACAAAGATGACATTTACAGAATATGAGCCCACTGACATGGAACAAGGCAGAGGCAAATAAAACCCTAAAGATGTGGGTGGAGATGGAGATTGTGGGCAAACAAGTAGACGCGGTGATTAAGTTATGACATGACATGAAACCCGCCAGCGAGAAACAGAACCAGACCACGCATAGGTGCTTATTCTGTGATATAAAACCACATGAGCTTTGGAATGCCCTCATTCTGCCCAACTGTAGAAAGTGCAACCTCCAACTGAGAATCTGAGTCAAATTTAATGTTGTGTTCGTTCAAAACTAAAAATAAAGCCGATTGTCATGATGGGTTCAGGATGAAGCAAAAGAACAGGCTCAGAAGTGCAGAAACCTAAATGTGGATGTTCTGTTGTTCCCCGAAAGCAAGCAGAGAAAGAAAACAGAGAAACAAACGAGTTCAGATGAGTTTCCAGCTCCTCTGTAACCTCAGCGACCTCCTACAAACTGGTTCCCCTGCAGTCATGCCAGACATGTAGTCGGTCAGGTGACCAGCTGACTGGGAGCTGCTATTGAAATGTGGCTTTGGTATTTGTAGTTGTGGTGAGCTTGTTCTCTCACTCATAAAGCATGCTGGAGTATTTTGGAGTTTGCAGTCAACCCTGAGTTTGGCTTCGGCTGTTTAGAAGAGTTTAGTGTTTTTCCCCTCAGTCCTTTTATCCTGTATGAAATCTCTTCTTGTCATAAAAGAGTGCTCAAAGACACCAGGCAAACTAAAAGGACCTTTTGTTCGACTGCAGTTCTTTTGTATATTTCAGTAGAAATGAAAAGGCCACATTGGTCGACCGAAAGTGCTTGAATCATGTCCTAGGTTTGGTAACGATGACAAACAGTGTGGGTATGAAGGCACCAGACGATGTGTGACACACAGCCTGGACTTTACAAAACGACAGAAAGACCAGAAACAACACATGAGAACGCCACACATTCCTCAGACCCTGTCAATGTACTGATTCAGAATAAAGGATCCAGTTTGTTCATAATATGGATCCTGCCTCAAACTCAAGTTCTCCATAAGCAGATGTGCATCACCGGCATCTCTATGAGTTACACTGGACCCATAGGCTGTGCATGAAGCTGGACGAACCCTCTGTGACGTCACCCGTGGGTTTCCTGAAGAGCAGCTTTGCAGCTCGTTGTGGTGGAACAGGCTCATGGAAGCACCGAACTCCAACAATGAGCAAAGCAGTGCAGCAGAGGTGGAGCTGAGGTGGACATGGGCGGTCCTACCATGGTGCTGACCTGAGAATCTAAGTGGTCACACCTTTAATTATGCATACTTGTAGTTGTTAATGATTTGGTGAGGCCACACTGAAATAGTCCAAGTAAAAGTCAGACAGCAGGATGCGCTAAAGATGTCCTGCTAACAGGATGCTAGCATGAAAGCTCGGTCTTATTTCTAAATGGCATTAAAGTCATAAGTGATCATCATTTAGGAAACTGATTTGAATTAATTAACGGAGACGCACATGCTTCTGTTCAGACTGCTGAGATCAATGCATTAAGATAAAACCGATATTCATGTTGCCATAAAGATTCATTAACAGCAAAGCTTGTAGCTTTATTGAGGTCACCACACTAATGCACACACACACACACACACAGACACACTCTTAAACTTAGTAGTTAATGTAAAATGATCTTCTAATGATAACAGCTTTGACCTCTGACTGTGAGAAAATGTGGCCCATCGGATGTTCTCAGAAAGCAGGAGGAGGGACGAGGCTGTCAGCAGAGCGTGTGATCTCTGTTCAGATCTGGTGTGGAGGCCTGGGGGAGACGTACAAGCCCTCGTGCCTGACTCTTCCCCCTCTCCCCTTCCCTTTATGTTTCGCAACAACGGAGGAAAAGTACCCAGCCCAGTGTCAGGTATCAGAGGGTTGCTGTACGTCTGCTCTCGTTTAATGCGGCCTTTCACAAAACAAACATTGTGCAAGAGGACTTCCAAGAACTTGAGCAGAACATGGAGTTGTTTTGCGGTCTAGATCCCTGCAGACTGACACAAGGAAGAGATTTATGTTCTGCAGGGAGTGTGAGGTTAAATTTGTTCGTGCACAAGTGAACCAACACACACACACACACACACACACACTTGTGAATTAACAGCACATGGAAGGCAAGCGAGAGCTGCGACTTTTTCACATTTTCCTTCCTCCGTCGAAAATTCCTCTCCTGGCAAAACGAGCTGCTAGCAGCAGATCTGCTCTTCAACAGACAAGAATGAGTGAAGACCAAGACACGGGGAGAGTGTGGAGCCTCACCAAGCTTTATTTACATGCGCACCATTTCTTATACAAACTAGATTAAAATTCAAAATGGAATACACAGGAAAAATACCCACTAACATCAAGTCGAGAAGAAGCAAGATTAATAAAGGGCGAAGTTTGAAGGGGAAAAGCTCAGAGGGCGTTTGGAGGGAGCTGGCCTGGGCTTCTCAGCGAGGATGGAAGGATTCAAGAGAAGATAATAAAAAGGAAACGTCCAAGAGGTGATTAAGGTATCTAGTGGTATGTCTCTATTTAGTTTTTTTTGTTGCTTTTCTGAACTTTAAAACAGCTTGTGCTGTGCTGCAGGTGTGTGTGTGTGTGTGTGTGTGTGTGTGTGTGTGTGTTGGACACGAGCAGGTTTCACGTGAGCCTGAATGAAGCACCGAGTGGCTGCGTGGACGGCCTGGTTCAGCTGTAAACTATCTGCCTGAAGAGCATTTCACACTGAATGTACAAAATGTTAGGAACGCCTTTCTGTGACTGAGATCTGCAGCTGATCAGGGATCAATAACCCCTCTGTAAATAGAAGAGGATTACGGCGTGCCCTGACTTCACCTTGTCAGTCTTCTTCACAGGATAAGTCCAGTAATATTTAGTACAGTCGGTGCAGATGACTTGAAGCGCTCAGCGGCTCAGGTGATGGCTCAGGATCCCGCCGCCCCCCCAGACCCTGTCAAACCAAGTGACGGATCGTGTTTTGGAAATATCAGATGGAAATTCCAGCTCGCTGTCAGATGACACTTCTACCACGTCAGAGTTCTCACAAGCGGCTCACTGAGAGCACCGGGACGTGAACCTGCTCCAGGTGGAATAAATCAAGTGTGAAGCTGAGGAACGTCCTTTAAAGAGGCTCTGCATTGACGTGCAAAACACACACACACACACACACACACACGCTCACGTAATAATAAAAGCGGGAGGATGGCGCGAGTGCACCTCGGTCGGCCCTGATTTTAAAAATAGGAACAGAGTGTGTGTGTTCAGGTTCTAAAAAGGCCCGGTTCTGTCTCCGAGTCACGATCTGTGGAGGGACGGCACCACTGGAGGGGGGGAGGGGGGTACAGCTAGCTCATGCACTAACAGCACGGTAGATCATTCTAGCCAACCATGCACACTCCCGCTCCTCCGCCTCAAAGTGATATACGCAAATCTGTACACTATCATACACAGCAGGGAACACACGTTCACGTCGCTGCCCCGAACCGGGACGGGGCACCAGGGCGTCCAGATTTATACGATTTCAAAATCTGGTCCAACAATGAAATCTGTGGTAACAGTGTTCCCTCCGAGCCAGCGCGCAACCTTCACCTTCAGAGGTATCACAAAATCCAAGGGTCAAGTACTACATGAGTATATAAGGACATACAGCGAGTAAATATGCATTTCACACAATTCATGATGCATAAATACATACATGCATACAGTCGGCTGTGCTGTATGCACCGTGAGGGATTACACATCCTCGTGGATTAAATTCAACTGAAATGAACTCCATAGATTAACACACATCGACATGTAGTCAGGAGATACAGGAAGTCACCTGCAGGAGCACCAGGCGTGTCCATGAGGGCATGTGTGTGTATGTGCATCACAAGTCCAACGAGAGGAGAACAAAAAAAACAACAAAACAATGTCAGCAAAACCAAAAAACAACCTAACAGACTGCGTGAAGTAATCATCCTGACGTCTGTCTTCCTTCCTCCTCTTCATCTCCACTGCCAAAAGTTCACAGGTTACAAGTTCACAAACACAAAGCATTGCCTTTTCATTATTATTATTATTATTTTTTAAGCAAGAAATGTTAAAATACCATTCGAATGTGACTTGATGTTTGTTAAACGGGAAGCCTCCCTTTTCCCCCCTGAGTGATTCTGTATATGCATAACAAGCCCCACGAGCTCGAGACGAGAAAACAGCAGAGCTTCAATACACATCCCTGCTGTTGTTTTTCTATCTGTGAGTGTAATATATATATATATATATATACGTGTGTGTGTGTGTGTGTGTGTGTGTGTGTGTGTGCTGTGATTTGGCTGCCAGCATATCCTACTGTTTGTTTCAAGTAATTTGGCAATATACAGAGATAGCTTATTGTTATACTCAAGAAACAAATGGCTTCTAGAGGAATGAGCCTAAAAACCCTGCTCCCCCTGCCGTCTTCAACCTGGCCGTGCTACAAGTGGCTAGAGCTCTGGGCTTCTGCAGGTCATGGGTAAAAACAGAGGAAAACAAAACACAAACAGAACCAACAAAATGCACGGCTTGCTCTCAGGACAGGATCAACACTGTTCGTATAGCACCTGTTATGGTGTGGAAATGTTCACAACCCTCGGACACAGGTATTCAGTTTGGCTACATCATATGCTGTGATAAAAATGACCTCCACAGAACTCACCAAAGCTAAGAAAACTAAGACAGACAAGATGTTTCCTTGAACGTCCCACTGCCCTGCGCTGTACAAGGATCCATCCAGGACAACTCTTCTTCTAGGCTTTTGTCTTTTTTTTTCTTTTTTCTTTGTTTTTTACAGTTTGCTATACACAAGGATAAATCATGTCGTAGTATTCAGCTAATTGTAATAAAACCCTCAATATGCTGAAGTTAATTTAAATTCAAGCAATTTATAATAAGGAAACAGCGAGTGCATGGCGTTGAACTGAGGAATTCAGGATGTGACCACCGGGTCGACGTGCCGGTCGGCCGGTGTGTGTGTCTGCTGTATGCCGGCCGCTCAGTGAGTTCAAACTCTTCGCTTTCATCGCTTCATTTCACCAAAAAAACACCAAATTCTTTCTGTACAGACGTGTATGATCCAGAAACAAGTATGATAACAACAGAAAATCCAAAAAACAAACACAGAACATTTAAAATCACTAAGAACAGAAGGAATTCTTGTTTTTTTTCTTTTCAACAGAACACATCCCAGGAAACCACTGGATCAGATTTACACCACATCACTTCTCCATTTTTGTTGTTTTTTTGTTTTTTTACACTTTTGTCTCTTTTTTTTGTCGCCTTCGACGGGAACAACTGCACCGTGCACTCCTTCTGTATTTGCTTGATCTCCAGTCCTTGTATTCCACCTGAAACCCCCTCTGATAAGCAGACTCTCTTTGATATCAACAGACTGGGTGTCAAAGGAAAATTGCATAATTCTAAGATTTGTGAGTTTGTCGTGATTGTTTCTTTCGTCGGTGTTTCACAGGAGGCTTTGAGGGCTGATGTGCAGCATCTCTAGAGTCTGTTGGATCGTTCACGGTTCACCAGTGTGGGAGCGAAGGTAAAGCTCTCAGGAGGAAGTCTTCTTCTGTAAACACAGGGTTTGTATATTACATTGTGCTGATGGCAGGTTTGGCAAAAAAAGGATGTTGTGTGTCTGATCTTCTCTTGCACCGCACAGTTCAGACCTGGAGACAGAAAACAGACATTATATGAAGGAGTTGGAGGATTCGTGCTGTGATTTGAAGCAGAACAATCGTCTCTAGTTTTGGTTTCAAGTCAAACATTTGAACTACAGTCAGTACCGGACCCTTTATTAAGTGGACTGGTTATCGGCCGGGTGTCACCAATCCACGGTACCTCCAGGTTCCTGTTCAGTTTGGGTTTTTGAAGCTTAAAGGTAAAACTAAAAGTGCAGCAGCAGGCCTTTACAGTCAAATCCAAAGTGGAGTTTGATGTTTCCAAAGTTTTACTGCATGTTTTTTTTATTTTAATGTAAAAATCCAGCATCCACTGTCTCACTAAAAACATTAGGCAGCTTGAGTTAGAAAATTCCTGGAAAGCGATCTTGTTGAGCAGGACAGAATGATGAAGCAACGCAGAGCTGAAGTGGTTTCATACAGAAATTCAAACGTTTGTAATTTTGTTCTGTGAAGTCTTTTCATTTCTGAGAACAGCGCTGACTTGGATTAGTGTTTATTATCGTCCATTAAAGCATCTCCTTGTTTGTTTTCAGCTCTGACAGCACCAGTAACTCTTCAGCGTGAACCCTACTGCGTGTATTAGACGACGGTTGTACGGCGACGCACAGAAACCTTCTGAACAGAAACAGAAACATTCCACAAACCTACAAGTGGTTTCTAGTCACGCTCTCACATCACCTTAAACACAAGTTCTACACACAAACCTTTAGAGATTTTACATTTAAAACTGCACAAGTATCCCAGTTCCTGTGCCTGTACTCGGCTCACCTTTGGCTCATGACAATTCACACAACACTCAGAAATACAAACCTGCTTTGCAGCGAGCCCCTCAGCCGGGCACCCAGCTCTGAGAGGTCTGCTTGGTGCTTGTGAAGTTGCCGACTCCGTTCATGTTGGCCAGAGAGTCAAAGTTAAAATCCAGGCCGTCTGCATCCATCAGCTCGTTCCTGATGATGGAGTCCATGTCGCACTCCAGGCTGCCGTTGAACATGTCCAAGTCCAGATCTGTGGGGAAACGGTCCTGACAGATCCCTCCGCTGCTGCTAACTGTTCCGTTCAGGAAGATTGAGGTGTCGATCTGCATGGACGAAGACCCGTTTCCTCCCAAGGGTGAGAGCAGGAGCTGCTGTTTGGCGTTAGCCAGCGCGTTAGCCTCGTTGGCTAGGTTCAGGCCTCCGTTTATAGACCTCTGGTTGTGGTTGTTACTTTGCAGGAGCTGGCTGCTCTGAAGTCCTCCGGTGGTCCCAAAGGTCATGACGGGATCGTTGCGGAGCATGAGGCCGCGGCGTGAGTTCTGGGAAATGACGGCTGCCGCGCTGGCCTGTGACATCAGCGGGTCAGACTGGGTCATCATGACGTCGCTGTGGTTGTGGCTGTCGGAGTTGAGCAGGTCTTGTAGTGTCTGGCTGCCGAAGCGGGACATGCTGATGCTGGAGAAGGACGTCTGCTTGTTCTCCTGGATGGTCTGCATGGGGGACGGACGCAGAGAGGAGCTCGCTGCGTGAGGGCCGAAGATGGAGTTACTGTAGCCGTTACTTCCCCCATTAGAAGAAGAATTGGAGGGTTGAGAGGAAGTGGAGGAAGGCGAGCCGATCCCGTTGGGTTTGGACCCAAAACTGAACCCTGAGGAACCATTCGATGTGACCTGGCTGGAAGTGGTTGGCACCAAGTTGATGTTGTCCAGCAGCTCGTCCATCAGGTCGTCTGTGAGTCCGTCATTCAGGTTCATTGTACCTGCCAGGTCCGCCAGGCGGGGCAGCTCAGTCGGCACAGCTTTCCCACCATTGTTCGTGGCATTCCCAGGAGACAGCGCTCTGCCAGGACTGGAGTAGAGCATCGGCGAGAGAGGAGGCTCGTCGTCGGGCACCTCGTCTAGCTCGGGATTGGCCAGAATGGGCGAGAGGCGGCCGCTCAGTGTGCTGGCGTTGGAGTTAGTGCGAGAGCGGAAGTCTGTCCAGGCATCCAGCTCCTCGCTGCTGCGTGACGTTGGGCTTCCAGGCCACTTGGAGAGACCTGACGGACTGTCTCCACCACCTTCACCAGCTGCAGCTGCAGCCTGCAGGGCGGCCTTCTTCTTGGCAGCGCGGCCGCGGGCAGACTTAGTGTACTTGTTGCTGTTGTCCATGGAGACCGCCCGGCGCCGTGGAGCCTTGCCACCCTTCCCTCCCTCTGGGTTGATCATCCACCAGGAACTCTTTCCTGTTCCCTCGTTCTGGACTCGGATGAAGCGGCTGTGGAGGGAGAGGTTGTGCCGGATGGAGTTCTGTAACACAGAAGAGAGAAAGAGGCTGCATTGAGTGCTGAGTGCTAAATCCTTTTGGAACAATTACTCAAACTAAGACTGTCATCAGTATTGATTTGTTGTATTCATTCTTTCCTTTTGCCGATACAACATTCAATGAATACCTCTCATTAAGTCCAGCAGCAGTGATCCATAAACCACCCACTGCCACTGATTCTGCAGCGATGTAAACAGTTGCTCTCTGTGACTAGACATACAAACAAAGCAAAAAAGCCCATTGTTTCAATTGTTCATCCACTAAATATAGACAGACTCACATTAACGTGGAGCGGCACTTAGCGCTGATGTCTGCATTGTTCCCGCTGCAGCTTTGTGTTGTGGGTACAGAAGAGAAAAGAGACACAGTGGTCTATAATCAAGCGTCTCCTCGATGATGAATGACGCGTACAAAAAGCCTCTGTGTGTCCGATCATGTGTGTTTCTGTGAGCCTCGGCTGCTTCGTATTGATCAGCTCTGAGCTGATTTATTGTGAGCGCCCAAAAGGCTCATTGTGGAGGGAACTGCTGCACATGACAGCCTTTGCTAATGATCAAGAGTTTTATTCACGACACAGAGGATGCACGCACACATTAAAGGCCCAAAGTGCAAAATAACAACAACCACTGGTTGCTCCGCTGCTGTTTACTCTGTTTACATGTGTAGTTATCAGACGGACGTTTGTAGCAACGAATGTCAAAGTCAGTCTGTTGTCTGGTCACATGTGTGGCTCCAGCTGAGATATCTCAGCAACTGCTGGATGGATTTTGAACGTACACATTCATGGTGATCAGAGGATGAAACCTGCTGACTTCTACCAACATCTGACCGGTGCTGTAGGAGCGCTGATGCTCCTTTGCCCAATGCGTTGACTGAACACCTGCACATCCAGCGTCTGTCCCATCACACTGAGCTGATTGGTCAATGTTAGCAGTGTTTTAATAAGCTCAGAATTCAGACAGCTGCATGTTTGCATTCAGATCTAAAAGAGAGAAACTTCAAGAACTTTTTCATCACAGTTCAAACCTCAGACACCTGAGGTGACGATCATACTGGCAGAAGAACTAGAAGACAGTGAAACCAACCAGCGGCAGGTTGGGTGATATTCAAACCGCAAGACAAAGAAGCTAATTCTGTTTTGTGAAACTATGATAGTGTTTAAACAGGAGCGGGCCTCGTAGGCTGCTGTGTGTTGTTATGGGCGTCGGTTCACTACAGAGCTCGTTTACACTAATTGATTAGTGCAGGTTAAACGAAGGGTTGCATGATGGAAGCTCTGCTGGTGCACTGACTCAGGACTTAAAATTCAAACTACACTCGATGCGTAAATTACACCCATGCACACGTCCATCTGCACACACCCCCCCCCCGCGCACACACACACACACACACACACACACACACACACACACACACACACACTTGCAGCCATCTGGTTACTTAAGCAGAAACCCTTCATGGTTGTTATATGACAGCGTGATGATGATACACAAACGTTTAGACAACGTCCACGCTCTCGGATTTCAACAGGACGCGATTATGAGCCTTCATAAATGTTAAGGAAATCATTACAGCCTCTCTGACTTGGCTCTAGCATTGATTACACTTCCTTCTTTTTCTTCTCGCGCCCCACAATCCACCGAAGGCCTGGTTGGATGCTTTATTTTGCCTTTCCGCGCCCCCTCCCTCCTCTCACGCAGTTTCTGTTGTTTCACAAACACACAGCTCTTATGGGCCTTGAGGGACTCTGGGGCTATGCTATATCCTCCCATATAAACAACCCCACCGCCATCCACAACACGCACACATTCTTCCTCTCTCCGTTTTCCCTCCCATGTATATTTTTACTCCCCCGAAACAGAACAGATTTCTGGGTTGAAACCAGCAGAGCACCAACATTTCGGAGTTTTTGTGGGAATCACAATATTGTTTTCCACGAAGCCGTCCCGTCTTTCCCGGGCAACAGTTTACAGACAATTTGGTTTGGACTGTTATTCTGGTCAGAGGCACAGAGCGCAGGTTTAAGGTTTCTGAACGCTACGCTGGCAGAGCGAGGAGCTCTGGGGCCAGACTGAACCTACGACCCTCCGTCAGAGTGTGTGTTCCAGCATGTGTGTGTGTGTGTGTGTGTGTGTGTGTGTGTGTGTGTGTGTGTGTGTGTGTGTGTCTTAGCAAAGCTCTTGAATGTTTCGTAACGGCTTTTTTTTTGTGTGCAAAAGTTGTTTCTGTAGGATGGTGGTGCTTTTTTCAGTCCCAAAATGAACGTTGTGTGTGAACGTACAGAAGTGTGTGTGTGTGTGTGTGTGTGTGTGTGTGTGTGTGTGTGAGCATTCTGTGCAATGAGGTAAGATGAGAAGAAATACCAGGGAGACCAGTGTTTATCCTCTGCCAGCATCTCTCGAGGAATGACGTAACGCTGTTTTATTACAGAACATTTTACAAACACACACACACACACACACACACACACACACACACACACACTGGAGCTAAACGTTTCCAGCTGCCAGGAAGATGTAAATAACGGGAGAGGACAAACTTTGTGAAGGGAAAACAGAAACTTTTCATGGAATGAATGAGAGGAGAATGAATGGAATGTGAGTTTCATTCTCCCACTGCTGTAAACATTCACCTGCCATCTCCTGACACTCCATCAATCCTTCTCCCTTCACCTCGTCCTACATCCCCTGATCCCCGTACCACCACCACCACCTCCTCCTCCTCCACCACCTCCTCCACCTCCGACAACACCGCTTGTCTAATGCTTCTCTTTTCCGTGCCACTACTCGTATCCCTCAAATGTCAGATGAGGTATTTCATAACTGTGTGTGATGGAGGAGCGGTAACAGGAAGCGGGACATCTGCAGCCGGAGCACGGACAGCGATGAAAAGAAAAGAAAATCCGGTGCCAAGCCAAGGTGAGAGTGAGTGATGGTGAGAAGAAAAAGGTAGTGAGAAGATGGCGATTGGAGGATGAAAGAAGCCAAACTGTGTGTGATGTACGGGGAGCCGTAGATCTTCCTCCGTCGTCTTCATCGCTCTTATTCTGGAGCTCTCAAACGTTTCCCAAATAAAACTTCATTCAACTCCACGGAGCAGCACTTGTGGTTCAGTACATGGAAAATATGTTGTTTTATGATTTTGGTGGACTGACCTTTCAAGCATCTTAAACTTTCCTCGCTCCACATGTCACGCAGACATCCAGCCTCTCCTGCAGACCACAGCCTCTCCTTTCTGCCCGTACTGTACTTAATGACACAGCGTGGCATGTCATTGAACTTTCCATGAGTTCATTAAATTCTTTGTGAATAAAAACAACAGCAGCACATCTCCGTGGCTGCTGAGGGCACCAAGCATCAGGAAGAAGTCTCCGAACACACGGAGGGAGTTCATTCTTTTGTCAGAAACAAATCCCAGAGTTCTGGATCTCAAGTCCAAATCCTGTGACTGCCTCTGCCCGTTACACTGACATAGATGTCATAGATGGAGTAAATATGGCGAGGCAGCGTTTTCTTGGAATCCTTTGTTTGTGTTTGTTTATTGTCGTTTTCTTTTAAACGTGACTCTTTAGGGCGACGCTGTAGAACCACACAGCGCTGTTTCATGCTGTGTGGTTTGCCGTGTACGTGCCGTGGGTTTGTGTGCCGACATCACGGTGTGAGTGGGACACTGTTCGCTCACTGCTGTGGCTCCTCTGGGGTATTCCCAAAGCCCATTAATAAAAACAGCTCAGTGAGGCAGCAGCTCTGATTCATGGCTCCTACGATGCAGCCACAGCTAGAGCTAAACAACACACACACACACACACACACATATATACATACAGTAACACAGCTTGCAGCGGAAACCTTCCAAAGCACAATGACACTGCTGACACCATCCAGCTCATTTAGGGATTTGAAAAAAAAAAACAGTCTCTCTGTCTCAATCTTATTTCATGCAAACCTCTGAGACTTGGATTTATGCACGAGGGCCTCGTCTCACAGGCAGAGGAGTTAGCAGGCTCACTGTGAATTTAACCTTGGATCTAGGAAACTGTCCTTTAAAGACATCGTTTGACATGTAGGGATAAGTGCTTTTGGTTTTTTTTAGCTGGGAGTTACTTAGTCGGATGAATATCTGCTATATGTCGGTTAAATGTGATGCTGCTTCCAGCAGACGGTGAGATTCAGTGAGTGGAACCAGGAGACATCCATCCTCGATGCAACAACGAGATTAAATCAAAGGAATATAATATGTTCACATTCTGAGTCCCAGGACCTGCTATCCTTAAAGAAAGTGCCTAAATTACACCATTCATCAGAGCCAGAAACTGTCAGAACAGAAGTAATCATGTGATGATCAACATTTCCCACGGTGCCTGAACCACTCACCTGTGATTTAACATTTTCATCAAAATCACTTAATTCTAGTGAATGTAATAAGTGTTTGCTCTAATCGGATTAAAAACAAAAAAAAAAGGATAAAAATTCAGGGAATTTTCAGCTGAACTTGTTTACACTCGCAAACTGTTGCTTCAGGGTTTTTAATTATTTATTTAAACACATTTTCCTAAAATAAATAATCAAAGAAATATTTTAAGTGGTCACTTTATGGATTCTCCGTTTTGTTAAGTTAATATCACAGAAAAATGTATTAATTTGCACGTACACTAAAAAAAACAAGGTCAAAGCTGGACATAAAGTCAATATAAAAAAATCTCAATTATTAGTAATAAAACGGTAAAATTATATTGTTTTAATACATATAAATCAGTTAAAATGATTATTATTCAGCAGATATTTGATGTTATTTTCAGTATTTTAACCAGTTTTTTTTCTGGCTCCCTTGTTGCCAAATTTTTTAAATGTTTTTTTTCATCAACAGTGTTTTTAAAATCAGATTATTTTCTATTATTTCCACTGAACACGTGAGCTACACCTGACTGGAGTCGACCGCTCTTTGCCGCGTCGCTAAGTGGACTCGATCCATTTGATCTGATACC